TGATTACTCTTACATTCGGTAAGAGATAATGAGAACGATAATGGAAGCGACTTCGATAATATCCGATTATCGAACTGTGTATATTAAATGAAAACTCCAGTTCAGGTACTTTTTTTCGTGTCTAGAAATCGGTTTTTAATTTTCCATTTTTAGAGTACGCGTAGTACTAGTAAATGTATAATTTCCTCTTACTAAGTATTTTAATACAATATTCGCTTAAGTCATTTAAGTTATCATGATAAAAATAATATATAGGTAAACTTATTCTTATCTACCAATTTTTATATGGTAACTTACAAACTAAAAAAAACTCGCTTTTATTAATAACAAGCAGGCTCTAAAATTCAATTCTAAAGTATTGGGCAGGTCATGTCAAAGCAAATAACCCCAAAATTAAAGTATTTACTAGTTGAAGGGTTCCACTATTAACCTTCTGGCTTCACCATTAGATCAGCTCGATAATACCAAATTATTGTACTATCATCGGAAATATAAACACTTGCAAAGTCTTATTGTGTCTGCGTGTTCCCTTGACCTTAGTAGGGCATTTGACCTGACCCAATTACGATATCATATGGCAGAAACTAAAAAATACTGGATTGCCTGAAGAAGTCATGGGATCTTCAAATATTGGTATCATAATCAGATCAATGTCGTGTGATGGTCAGAAACTATTATATTAGGTATATATGGTATAAATACAGTCTGTTTACATACTTGAAATTTCACATCAACATATTATCTATATTAAAGAAAATTTTATGTAAAAATTTAATAAACGAACGAACATAGAACCTTATTTTCGGAAGTCAGTTAATAATGGCAAAACTTCCAGCTAGACGAGGGTAAAAAAGCTATAAAGAGGAACAAGATTTAATTTTAATTATATCACACCTAAAAAAACACCAAAATATAATCTCTTACATAATTTCACCAATCTTTCATAAACATAGTTATGTAAAAGAAAAGGGCCTAATTTTCTCAATTCGCAAGTTGTTTATAAAATCCAGAGCAGTTTTCGAACCATCGCGTGATTAATTATAACTAATGTACGCAACACGACGTAAGGTCGTATAGCGACGTGCTTTAATGTTCTTTAAAGTTAAACGTGTTTCCTCATCGTAGCGAAATTACATATATTTACGGCTAAATAAAAATGACATATTAAGTTAACGAAATATTCTTTCCAGTTTAATTTTATGCTAATATGTGGTAAGTGTAACAAGTTCTGTTTTAAAAATAAAAATACTATTGATGTTATGACACAGTAAAAACTCGAATTGTCTTGGTTTTATTCATGTAAGAAAAAATTTTTTTTTAATAATTTTAAAATAAAAAAGATTAGAAAACGCCATTCAGTATTCTAATGTTAGAATAGTATTATGTGATCTATGGCTAAAATAATTAAATAAAAATAGCATGTAAAAAAAAATTTGCTTTTTATATAAATGTAATGTGAAGAGAATGAAAGATGTTTTAAATAAATAGTTAATTTAGTTTTCTCAATGAAATTTCTTAGCAAAAGATTATTCTCCACACCACGTTCTATAATTTCAACAGGATAGGTACAGAAGCATTATGAGGCTGCTTTGTTTATTTGCCTAACGACCAATTTACCGAAAGCTCTTTTATTATAGAATTATTGAGTCTTAAATTTCAACTCTATTATTATAAAATACACATTTTACTTTAAACAAGTCAAAAAATAGTTTTTTTTCTATATATGTATCTACATATATGTATCTTAAGAATGTGGTATGTTCTTAAAATAGAGAATAAATCTCTACTGTAAAGTACAATAAGTACTGGTGGTTTGAACAAATATACACTAAGGTGACGATTTATTTATTACCATACCATATACCTCATTAACACACTAATATTGATTTGAAAGTTGGTAAGTAAGTGAATGCGTATCTTCACGCTGTAATTACTCAATAAATTGAGTGTTTGGAATGGACACAACCGTGGGCAAGAGCAAATCATAAGTATATTAACTAACAGACAAATCTTTGTATTAATAATAATACATAACTAGAGATAAAATTAAAAATTTAAAAAACCTACGACGCAAATTAATTGTCATTGAACGATTACACTGGCACGCGTGAAGCACTAAATCGAGTAATTCTAAAATTCCGAGTAATTCTATTCCAAAATTCCTTACATCATTTTAGAAAAGAGCTGATACTCTTACACTGCTAGACCGATATTAACCAAACATAGCAAAGAACCACCACCAACGTTTGAGAGCTACGATGCCACAGGCAGACACCCCCAATTGCGTCGGGGGTTAATAAAAACCATCCATAATTTTCTCATCGAAATATGTTGTTCATACGAGTATGTATGGTAATAGGAATAGTATAGTATTCTGTGATCTGTGGTAATAGACTCATCCTATTATTATAATCACTGATTTTATTAATAATAATAAAATCAGTGATTACGTGAGAAATGATACTAATATTACGAGATCAATTAGTAAATGTGTGCTCCTTTCACTGCACCCACCCAGAAGATGCTCTTACGACTATATATATTTTTATAAACGGCTATTGAATCATTGGAACGCATATAAAAGTCTTATCAAACGATTTACTATGTTTAAATCTCTGTGATTGCAAATAATTGCGTAATAGGATTAGGTAAACTTTGTTTTTTAGATCTTTTTTATTAAAACGTCTAAATCTATTCTTAATACAATTTCAAAGGCATAAAAGTATTATATTATTTATAAGTATATGGGATCGTTTTTAATTTACTGAAAACCTTTTGTGAATATACTATTTACAACATAACAACAACATCTCTAAGAAAAAAAAATTATATGTCTTAAATTTAACAAACATAAAAATATTTTTATTCCACCTTCTCAACGGTAATAGTCCAGCATTAGCAAAAGAAATTATAATATAAATAAATATATATATATATATATATATATATATATATATATATATATATATCAGAGACAAACAGAATTATTAATAAAGTATTCACCGGTCGGGTTCGTCCCTAGTTACGTCAGTATAGATTTCTCAGAGATTAGATATTTTCCCGCAGTAAAAAGTATCCTATATGTTGACCCGGACAAATAGCTATCACCATACCAAATTTCATCACGATCAATATCAATTTCATCTGTATCGATAACAATGGCTATTTCGATAAGATTTTCCAAAAATATTTAATGTACAGGTTCGACTCAGTTAGAATTTTATTATACGTATAGATATAGATAGATATCAATTACAATAAGCCATTCGCCTTATACAATAAAAGATAAAAACAGTTATAGTTATAATATTAACCAATTAGTTAAACCAATTTCTGAGACTATTAATTTATATCGATATAAATTTCACTGCACAAGTTTATATTTTTTTCACTTTCTTAAAGTGATAGGACAATAATCCAACAGGACATATAAATAAATAAATATGTTGGGACATTAACACACTGCACAATCTAGGTCCATAGTAAGCTAAGAGGCTTGTGTTATGGATACCAGATAGTTGATACACTACATATATATAACTTTAAATACATACATATTATAAATATAAACACCCATGACTGGAGTACAAACATTCGTGCTCATCACACAAATGAATGCCCCCAGCGAGACTCGAACCTTTCTGGCACAGCAAGGCCCTATAAACTGAGCCAAACGTGTCGTCTACATAAATATAGATATAAATTACCGTGCTTTCCGAGGGGATGCAACATCTAATGAACTCACAACTTCCCTACACTGGGCTGCTAATAAGAGTTTCTTGACACAAACCCTAAGTATTTACTAGTATATTTTGTCCCGTTCCTAGGCAGGAACCTAGTACACTTCGTTCTGCAGCCGTACTCACTAGCCACTAGACGAACAAGGCAGTTGGATGTTACATAATATAAGTATACAGATGACCTAAAATACTATCACGCTACTAAACACTTAATTAGAGGTAATTATTTTTAAGTCTAATTTTATAAATTGGCCATTACGAGTGACCTTTAAAATTAGTGTGATAATTTCTATATGCAAATGGCTAGTGTCTAGTATCTACAAGCTCTCATATCATCATCTCATACTAAGCAGGTTTTGATAAATGATTATGATTAGTGAAAACTGCTAATTCGCTTTAGAAGTTTAGAATATCGTACTTGTACGCATTATTAGTATTTAAAAAATACATTGTATAATTAACTTGACTGTACTATTATTTTTCACTATCTCTCCTATATACAGTCTTACAAACAATTGGGTTCTGGTGAGAAAAACCAACAACCAAATTTTAATTCGAACTAACGACACTAAACGAAGTTAATATTTAGTTGTTTAAATTTAAACATCTTTTAAAGTTTTTTTTATTTAAATTAAATCCAAAATTGGCCGAGATATGATCTTACTTAATAATCCTATATATTTTTTTGTAAAATTACATTATTCTAAAATATTTATTAGCTTTAATCATATGCACCGTAATTTATTATTTTTATTGGCATCAAGATAAAAACTACATTCGCAAGACCATATAATTCGTTGCCCCAATAACATATTTGGTCTCATCTGTTAAAAATAAACATGACCTCTAGTACATTTTTAAAATAATTATAACTTAGACTATTAAATTAGTGGCAGACATAAATGTGCCTTATGTATATTAACTTAATATGTAATGTATAAGTATTACGTTAGAATTAATATGTTGTTTCTAGTTAACATGTCAATTCCATTTTTTATTTAACCGTTGTTCTTTAAATTGCAATAATTATTTTCTCATATACTCCTACACAAATAGCATTTACATACATATGTATATAGCGTTATTACTTATTAAATAAAATTTGGTTAAAAAAACATAGAAACTATTAGCATAACATTTTATTTATTAACTATTTACACAACAATATAAGACAACAATAAACAATTCTTAAATTATTAAGGAATAATTCAACTATAATAAGATTAATAACAAAACGTAGTATAAATTAGTTAGTTATTAAATTTTAGAATATGCACTACGACCGTTATATGCTGAGTTCGCATTTGTGGCAGATGTGTAGTCAGCATTTTGTATAGCTCCATGTTCTTCTTTAGAAATACTCTGGGATATTGAAGTTTGTACTTTTTCATATTCGCTCGGTTGCGATATTGGTGGTCCGGGCGTATAACTGTACTTTATTTGTGATGTAGAAGGATAGTAATTGTAAAAATTTGATGCATGATTTGGATATACTAAATTATTGTATAAAGAAGCGTGAGACTGAGGGAGTACGAACATCGTAGGCTGACTTAGAAAGGACAGAGGGTGAATATTTGGTCCAAAACCAAGTTGTCCATGGGCAAGGGGACCTAATAAAGAGCCTTGATTGACATGATTAGTTGGATTAGGAGAGTAGAAACCGTTACTGTATTGTAACATGGCGCTGGGCTGTTGTAAAACGGCTAATACATTGCTATTAGGTTTTTGAGATACGAATTGATATTTCGTTTGATAACCTGGATTCGGTACAAAATTAATTGGTACAAAATGTGATTGACTGTTTTGAGATGATACTTGAGGTTGAGAAGTGTAAGAAGATGAAATATCAGCATTATTGCCAGAAGCATAGTATTGACTCGCAGACTGACTAGGGTAGAAGGAATTGGATGAAGCCTGATAATTTTGACTGGGACCGCTCTGCGAACTTGGGGTTTGCGAGTAAATATTGTAAGTATAATCTGGTTTTTGGGCTCCTGTCGGAATTGAGTTCAAAGGGTTGGCCTTGCCTGCTCCTCTCTTCTTTTGTTCAGCATCTTCGATCTCGCTGGCAAGCACAAGTGCGGCGAAAGTGATAAAGATCTGAAATGAATAATGAGTTCAACAATTTATCATAACAACAACAAAAAAAGCGTAGAGAACGATCAATCAGCTCCTTGTTACTCGAGCGTTATTAATGCATCACGAGGTTAAACACTTATTATGAAACAAGTAGAATGATGTTAATAAAGTTACATAGGTGTGGATATACTCACAAAAAGACCTTTATTCACCATAGTGGCTAATTACATTTCTCGATGAAAGGAAAAGTGCTCTATTCACCGATGCTGGGAAAAGTGTTTCTGAATATCAAGTTCACGTATTTATATGAACGGCAAAGGCAACTTTCCTCAAGTTCCAGATGGAAGTACATAGGGAAGTGACCGTTAGGTCTTTGTCCTGTATCGTAACAGATCCAGTTTCTGTGAGAGTGTTTGCTTCCTGCATCGGCACGGAAACGCTCTGTTCGCATTAGATACACCTTCTACTTCACATCAATGAGTTTAAATTGCCTCTACACTTAATATATAATGCTTCACACAAAATTAAAACATTATTCGTAGCATCAGGTTTCGTAAGTACCTATTATGTACAATTGAGGTGTTTTGTATGAGTTATAACATAGTAATATAGACATAAAGATAATTTACCGTTCATATTCTTTCCTTTCTCATGATAATTCTCAACTCTCAACATAATTATTCAATAACATAAAGTTTTATATATCCTCGATTACGTAGCACTATGTAAACTAAAATGTTCATTTAACATATTTCGAAATTAGTATATAAATGGTATAGTGAAGTCATTTAAGGTAAAACGGTATTAAATTTTGGAAAAAATACTTGTATCTATAATTTTACACAAACCTAATAAATTATACATAAGCCTAACTGCCTCAGTGGTTTAGTGACTAGCATGGACAGCCGCAGATCCGGAGATTCTGCGTTCGAGTCCCGGGTCGGGCCAAGTTCAGTCCTTTATCAAATTGAGATTTGAAATCATTAGAAAACTTATAGACCAAAAAGTTCTCTATAGGGTAAGTTCAATCTATTATTTTTATAAAACATTCATTAATCTGGAATATATTGCATAATAGTATCAAATTTAATCTGAATGGAATAAATAAAAATTTAATTAAAATAAACTATGCGTATTTTTGTAGTATCTTACATAATATGTATATATAATTAATATTGATCTTTTTTTAAAACTATAGGCAACTCTCCCTGATTTACCATAAATAGGTATCTAAAATAATATTTCATACGATAAGCCGTTCTTAAGATAGAGCACAAAGAATTTTTAGATTTTTTTTAACTGTTTGTAAATTTAATATATTAATAAAGGTACTTTTATAATTTTTCTATTATACATACATACGGCCACTAGTAATTTCAGGCAGCACATTATATGTTTTTAAATCCTACTGCGATGTAATTTTACTACATATAGAGAAAAACTTAACACTAAACTATTACCATACTTTGAACATAAAAAGAATCCAATACAAAACAACGAATGCGATTTTAGTTAAATGTTTGAACAAAAGACATCAACGCGCATGAAGTTTATTCAATGGAACATGTGATACATGAAAGGTATTTCCCTTGAAAGTCTGCCAATTAACATATCTGCTTAATTTCTATAAATGTTATAGCTAACATGACAAACAATGCTACATTCTAATTTGCAAAAATCGACTTCGCAACGTGCTGTATAGTAATTAACAGTGCTAATTCGCCAGATACGTAGATTTAAAATTATGTTTTTTTTTAATAAAACAATAATAACAATAAAGCTACTTTTATTTTTTTTAAATAAAAGAACGTCATCTATATTTATTATTAGAAATTATTAGATATAAAAGTAAGTATAGATAAACTTGCTTTTACTATATAGTTTACAAGTGTTAGTATAGATGGAGCTGTACATAGTATATGACACAACAGCCTTATATTCTAACTTTCCACAATGTTAATAAGATTATTATACTATAAAAGATAATAAGTCGAAGTACAAATAAGTACTACAAATTAAAACAAATGATCGATCATTGTATTTCGGTGACACATTTCTGAAAGTCGTTCGAGTTTACATATTAGAATCATTCCAGACTAACATAATATCTTCTGTTCATCTATAGTCCTTTTTATTGATGCCTGTCGACATCCTGAGAAGCAATTAATCGAAATTTTCCAAAGTGGTGGTAGAGCTTGTCATTTGCAGTAAGAGACTATAAATCCTATGAATTAAAAATGTTTCCTTTGACTTTATTATGATGAAAGCGCAAAGTTAAGGACCACAAATCATGCAAAATCTTTAAATCTAAGAAGGGAAATAATTCAACCTCTTTTATATAATTCAAATTATGCCCGTTCCATTTCTTCCAGTTCTGTATTGAATTTTATTTGTGTGGGTGCAAAATAGAAATAATTATATCTTAATATTTATTTATTTTTAATATAAAAGTGTCTCACCATCGTTTATGTATATATAATGTCAAGACTATATAATTAAGTATCTTAATATATAATGTTATAATAATATTAAGATACTAAATTTTATATACATAAGAATTTTTCACAAAAAAACGCAATTATTTCGGGTGTACATTTTAATATAATTTGTTAATTTATTTATTTTAATTTAGTTACTATCTAGTATTATCTAGTATTTAAAAATATAAAATCGCGAGTGTTAGATTAACGCTATCACGGAATCTTGCAATGTTCTTTGTAATTTAACGCTACTAGCATTTAAAAAGTGTATGTTTATTTTCTTTAGGAAGATAATTCATGTTTAGGTAGATAATATTTTTAATAATTTGTAATATTTTAACAAACAAAAACATTTTGACTTTAAAATTTTTGGGTTCGTACCTAGGTACGTTTTACGGTTAGTATAGATTTCTCAGAGATGAAATATTTTCCCGCAATAAAAAGTATCCTATGTGTTGACCAGGATAACCAGCTATCACCATACCAATTTTCATCAAAATCTGTCCCATAGTGTCCTCGTGATGCGTTCCAAGAAAGACAGACAGATAGACAAAAATTCTAAAAACTACAGATTTGGTCTATGTATCGATAATAATGACTAGTTCAATATGATTTTCCAAAAATATTTAATGTACATATTTGACTCACTTAGAATTTATTATATGTATAGATTGTTTTTCTACCTGTACAAAGTAACATTACTACGTAGTGCTGGTATTTTTTCACATATTAATGCCAGAAAACAACAGATAACGTATTTAATAATTCATATGGTATAGTATACATAACATTATACTATACCATAAAGCCAAAGAGTTTGTATGATTAAAAATAATATATTTTTCATTTATTATCCCGTGGACATCCTTCAAATATTAAATAAATCTTTAGTTTTATTTTTAAATATAGACTATAGATAATAGATATATGTACAATATGTATGTACATAGTTATTTATAATCCGATCAAGACTTGCAAACCAACCGACCTCTGTTTCTGCCGCCATCTGGATTTAGAGCTTAGGTAACACCACAAACATCTGTTTCATAACCCAGCCGTGGTAATACTATATTATAAAGTAAAATTTGAATATATTGTGCCAATAATTTAAGTATCCTATTAAAATAACTGAAGAGTACATGATAAAATACAATCAAAGCCAAAGCGAAATGAGAACAATTTTATGTCATAGTTCCGGTTATTCTTTGTTCTTAATATCCATCATTGTGGAATATAAAAACACGTGTGCCCAAATAAAGAAGCTCATTATGTAACCCAATGTTCGGAAGTGAACGCATTCGCCACTGAGATACATGCGCCATCAACCGTAAACGACGCGAATCACTTGTAATCTGATTGTTTTTTATTTGATTATTTACAGAAGTCAAAACATCTTTGCATAGATAGGGATGATTAAACAGTATTTTTAATAACTTTTCATATCGCAAACTATAAAATATATAGATACTCTATTATATAAATGGAAAGTCGCTATTCTTAAACAATAATATTTTGTATTAGAAATGTTAAATGAAATTTCTTAGTCAATAAACACTTTATTAAATTTAAAGGAAATCTGCTGAAATGTAACTTTTTTGTAGAGCCTAGCGACTCGCACTGGCTGCGCTTGGATTCATCCCTAGTTACGTTTTAATGTTTAGTATAGATTTCTCAGAGATTAGATATTTTCCCGAAGTAAAAAGTAACCTATATGCTGAACCAGACAACCAGCTATCACCATATCAATTTCATCAAAATCCCTAGAGTGGTTTTTCCGTGATACGGTCACAGATAGACAGACAGACAAAAATTCTAAAAACTATAGATTCGGCTTCTTTATAGATAATACTACTATTTCAATAAGATTTTCAAAAAAAAATACAATTTATTTATATTATTTATATTTAATTAAAATTAAATCAAACATTGACAAAACAACCAAGTAGCGCTTTTTCGGACTTTATAAATAATGTAGTTAATGCTAAAGCAATGTTTAATAAATATAATAAAATAATAAAACCATTCTGAAGAATATAATTCATAACGGAATAACCACATCAAAATTCGACCAGTAGTTCTGGAGCATACACACAGAGGCTAATCAGCGCGATTTAATGGTATATGTGTAAGGATGAGTATACTTTAACATTTTGCACCTATGTATTTTAATAAATATTAAAGAAGCACATACAGCGTGCTTGACTTATATCTCCAATTTCCCTTGCTTTCGTATAAGTGAAACTGATGATATAGGTATATCAGTTTGATTATCAAGCTACGTTATCAAATATCAAACAAATTTAGACCCTAAGTCTTTGTCTTAAATTAATAAGGAAATAAAATAAAAAATAAGAAAAATATCTTTTAGTCAATTTTTATTTTAAACAGAAAACAACAATACTTTCACAGTAATTAGATAATAAATAAACAATCTTAACATTAAAAATATTTACAAAAATTCACTTCGTATTCACAATTACTACATGACAATGGTCATTGTACTATTCTTAGTTATTTTCGATGAATAAAAAAACGTGTTTTATAAATGCTTACATTATATGAACATGCTATCATAATTACGCTATGGCTGTGAAAATGAAAGCTCTCTTTCACGTGCCTAGCACATGGATATTTATGACTCAAGGAAAGTTAGAAATGAGACCAACTACTTAAGACCAAAGGCAACTCGTACTCTCGTCGAACCTCAGTTTCATTCACGCATACATTCTTTCTAATTCAAATTCATACCAACTTATCTAAAAAAGCATATAAAGTAAATTAGTTAAATCTAGGCTTAAGCTCTTCACTATATTTGATGGTATTATATGTTGTTTCACTGTAAGCACCTTGTGCATCTTTAGGGGGTCCAAAACGAGAACTACTGTGTCCACCCAAACTATATTTAGGACCAGAAGAAAGAGGGCTATGGCCAGAAGAAAATGAACTGTGACTAGACAATGGACCTCTATAAGAGGAGCTTCCTGATCCAAAACTAGGCGCTGAATGTTTTCCTGATGATATATAGTATGCGGGACTAGGAGCAGAGGCTGCATGGATATTACTGGTAGAGTAAGCAGACGATGGAGATCCGTATGTTTTCACAGATGGAGCTATTTGACCACTTGCCGAGAATGCTGGTGCGATAGACTCTAGAGAACCAAATCCTTCTTTGGGGGGTGAGTAAGCAGATGCAATCTGTTTAGATAGGCCACCTTGATAACCTGATAAAGAACCAAAATTCAAACCATGACCAGAAGATCCATGTGTAGCACCTCCATGGCCACCAGTCGATTGATAGGCAGCAAAAGATGGACTGCCATAAGAATTGGAATGGCTTAAAAAGCTATGACCAGAATCACTTTGCGGAGATGAACCCAAGAAAGTAGATGGCTTGAAACTGGATTTTCCAGGGCCAGCATAGCTATTCAGTGTTTTTAGAGCTCCGCCTTGTGGATACTGTCCTGAAGTTCCAAATGAGAGACCAGCAAAAGAGTGTCCAGAGTCTCCTAAAGGAAAAGTAGCACCTTCAAAGTTATGGCCAGAAGATGGTACAGCATAATTCAAAGCGGGCTGGCTAGCTGTTGATTCAGGTGAAAATAGAACTGGACCAGTAGAGGCAAAACTGCCAAGACCTTTAGCCCCAAAGGCATACGCAGGGAAACTTTGACCTCCTTGGCCCTGTTCTCCTAAGCTATATTGTTGAAATGTTTGACCTCCATAACTGAACTGAGGTACACTTATTTCTTGACCATGACTGCCTTGGCCAGCTAATTGATAAATTGCACCACCGCCAGAAGGCAATGCGATAGCACCAGAATTTATTCCTTGAGATATTTGGCTCATAAGCTGAGAGAGATCATTAGAAATAAGACCTCCGTGACTTGGTTGTAAAGTAATGGGGGCGAGTTGAATATTTCCATGACCACTGGCTGGTAGCCCTTCAGATTGTATTTGATATGACGGTCCTGACCCTTGATTGGCAAAATTGAAGTTCGACTTAGCGCCACCTACGTTGTATCCCGCACCGATACTTATCGCATTGGCCTCTTCTTGACTTAACGCCGGTCCTTGATAATTGTGACTGGAAGCGCCATGTTGAGATAAATAATTACCAGAAGCTGCTTCCCTTTTATCTTTCAGTTCATCTGCTTTGGCATTTACAGCCCATGTTGTAGATAGGCTAAGTAGAGTTATGAATACGACCTGTAAACAAAAATCAATTTATTATAAAGCTTATATATATAAAAGTACATAAAACGTATACACTTTTTATATAAACTCCATTTTACTTTCGTTAATTTAAATTACATTGGGAATCGAAAGACTTGTTTTCTACCATATGTGCATAATAAGCCGACCCGCATGTCACCGTTCAAGATACCAGGCATTATAAATTTAATTTCACTTTTACCGCTTTTACTTCATACAAAAAATTAAACCTACGTATACGTTGTGCAGGACTAATTTCTATGAATTAAGCAATTACTCCTTAGTAAAAAATGAGAAAGCAATCATCAATTTAAATTTTTTATAGTAAAAGTAAGCAATGAAGCTACAATCTTTTCTTCAAATTATTTTTCCTTACAGAACTGTTTTTTTTTTGTTGGAACTTTTGAAATTAGAAATTATTATTTTAATTGTATATGGTTTCAGAAAAAGCTTATGCTAATTTATAACAGAATTTCTCAACAAATCCATGTTATAAAATAAAGTGAATTCTTTATTTTAGTTATAAGTATTTTATACAATAGATCTATAATAATTAGATACTTAATGTTATATTATGCGCTAAACCTAAAATTTGTTGATAACACTTTTATCCAATATTATTATCACTAAACACACACTCACCGTGAATTTCATTTTATATGCTTATAAGAAAGTTAGGTACGTTGACGAAACTAAATCACTATATTTGAACGAAACACTTAACTTGATAACACTGTTCGGACGGCTGACTGCTACAGCCGCCGAATTTGTAATGTGTTGTCGCTGTATTTTCACCGAATTTATAAGAGAGCGACTAGAGGCTAGCACCCGCGTGCGCGTCGGAAGGGTAAAAGTGTATCGGAGAACCCTTTCACTGAACCGACTGAAAGAATGGGAGCGAGCCATCGGGCTTCCGAGCCCAGCAATGAGGTAATACTCGGCCGGAAGTGTTACATCACTTGATCACGGTTAGATACACTTATTGACTGTCTTTGGCACGTCGAGTCGCGCGCTTGCAAGATCTGAATAATCCTAGCACATCATCACACATCAACTTTAAGTTCTTTTGCTTTTAATAAAGCCACTAACGAAAGTGTTAATTCCGGTAGGTAAGTAAAAATTATAGCGGTATGTGAACTGTGTAGAGTGTCAATGCTCTAGATACTGTATATATACCGAAATGTTTCTTTCTTATCTAATTTGATACAAGAAATATATAATCTCTCTCTTTTAAGTTTTTAATAAAATAATCCCATTCGTTTATTAAACAATATTAAGAAATATCTAGCCTCTATCTAGTATCTATGTATATATAAATGTGTCAAATGTTTGCAACGAAATTAAATTTTTTAAGTATTTTGATAAATATTTAAATCGATCTCCAGATACGCGAAGGATGTGCCCAGAATTGTTAAGATGCGTATGCACTTTCATTCTCGTGATTGTTGACATCATACGCCGTGGGTTGCAAAGTAATGGTTATTTTGAAGTTTAAAAACAATTGTTAGGAATTTACTTTAAAGGATTTCAAAGAAATTGAAATTCTTTATCTCACTACATCTATGTAGTTTATATATACTGATTTATACATTTTTTATATTATAGTACTAGCGACTTACCCTCGCCTCGCTCGGGTGCGTCCCTACATACGTTTCATTTTTTTTAGCGGAATCCTAATTCTTTTTCTAAAATTAAAGTAGCCTAAGTTACTCCTTATAACATCAGCTATCTGCCAGTGAAAGTCCTGTTAAAATTAGTCCAATCGTTTCGAAAATTAGCCGAAACAAACAGACAGACAGATAGAAAGACAGACACAGACAAAAAAATGTTTTATTTCTTATAAGTACCTACCGTGTATAGTTTCATAGGCATTTAGTAAAAAGCTGGTATTTTGACATTACAAAAAGACACTTCAATTTTGTTTATCTGTGTAGATAGTTAAACATATACTTAGTTAAAATTACAGTTGTTAAAATGAGCGTTAAATTATTACTTTTCATATAAAGATCTAATTTAATAAAAAATAATACATAATTCCGAAAAAATATCTTGTGAGTATAATATATAATCAGATCATTAGTTACATATACGAGAAAGAGGAACTGAGATAGGAAATAACAGTGTAATATTAATGTCGATTACGCTTGATAACGTAATGTAATAGATTTTAAAAAGATATAAATACTACTTGTAACAATATAAGAGATATTATACAACAAAACGCTTGAATGATTAGTTGAGTGATTATATATCAATACAGTTAATAAACATTTTAATGTATATGTATAAGAAATAAAACAATATTATTATGTTTTGAAATAAATGATCATTATGCGGCTACCGAGATTATAAGATATTACGTATATGTCATGTAAATTTTTAAATACCATCCGTATAATAATAGAAAAATTATCTACTGACTGGTCTTTTCAGTGAGTTCTAGTTTGTATCACTACGAATAGATCTAAAAAGTTATAAATCTTTTATTTGTGTTGCTTTTATTGCCCGTCTGCCGTCTCATTCTTACATAATCTATACATATAATAAAACTGTAGAGGTATGTCTGTATATAGAAAAAAAATGCTAAAAACCGAGTCAGGTGGATGTAAGAAGAGCAATAGAACAAATCCATTTTATTTTTTCAATTTTTTTGTTTCTCTGTCTGTTTGTCTGCTTGTACGGGCTCCGAAACTGATGGACCGATTTAAATGAAATGTTGCATGGTGGTACCTTATATCCCCGGTCAACATTTTAGATACTTTTTATCCCGGAAAATTGAAGAGTTCCCGTGGTATAGTTAAAAAACTACAGTAACTTATACAGCTTAGTACATAACAACTTATGCACCTAATTTAGTAGGCATGCTGATATATGTGTATGATACCTTATATTGCCGGTCAAACAACAGGTTACTTTTTATCTCGGAAAAATGAACGTTTGAAAGTTAAGAATTAAAAAAGCACTTATTTAGGCCTTTAAAATATACGTAAATATATGTTGTTTTATAATTTTTACATTGAAATCACAAATATCTAACTATACATATATCTAACACTAAAGTATATATCTTACACTAAAGTATATGGAACGCATAATTATTATAATATTATCTTAGTAGTTAGTACTTAAGATCATATAACTCAAAATAACCTAAATATATACGAACAATAGGTATTACATAAACCTATTGTCTTCATTGATCAAATTCCAACTTCATATCTTATAGTAATGTTATTTGATCAAAACAAATGGTCTTCGTGACTCTTAAAATAGTACGAGTAGCAGCTAGAATACTAGCAGCGACTTGCCCAGGTTTCGGTCAATAACATTAATTACACTGCACGTGAATTATACTAATGATGAACGACTTACAAGAACAAGTAAATAAACTAGTATAAAAAGTTACCTAGTTTTTTGCATTTCATACGTTACAAGAGTGACTAAATCACGTTTAGTTGGGCACCAACAGGTATCACGTAAAGGAGCATTTTACCTTAAAGCCTAGTTCGCATTAAGCTAGTATTTTAGTCAAGTAGCGAGTAATTTAGTAGCTAAATTACTCGCTACTCACCAAAAATCGTTCGCACTTTGGTCCAGTACAGTTTACAAGTGAGTGGTGTTTTGCAAGATGAACAGCCTACAACGCAATAAAGTAAATAAACTGATTAAGCTGATCGTAACGGCTATTTTAGAAGAGGTGGGTGAGGAAATTTGTGTGATTAATAAAAAAATTGATTTCTTTTTCGCCAAATCCGGGTATATTAATTATTTTTTCCAAATCTAAGTATGCGGAATGTTTCATATGCTTGTTTTTATAATGCAAGGACCTAATATTCCACAAGCATTCGTGTTCAACATATTTCGAAACAAATTTAAAAGTCATCAAATATAAAAGTCGCTCCAGCGAAACGACATTATGGCGGCAACTAATGAACTCGACTAATTCGACAGGTTCGTACTTGTTTAGCCGGTGAACCAGTGAGCTCGGACGCGTGGTAGGGGCTGCTACTCGCCCAAAAAAATAGAATAAAATGGATTGACTCGACTAAATTACTTACTAAACTAATCGACTAAATTTTTAGTGTTCAGACACGTTTAGTTACTAAATTACTCGCTACTAGACTAAAATACTAGCTTAATGCGAACTAGGCTTAAGTAGACATTCTTTAGTGAGATAGATTATATTTCCTCTAGTAACTGCAAGTCAGATCGCGTGTTTATTAAGTATTTATTATTTGTTTAGGTGAGCAGAGAACGGAAGTTTTAAGCTGTATCTTTAAAGTGTAAATTCAGATCTGCACCACACATTAAAATATACAGTTCTTATTATGTGCATCGAATCTGTCGCGCCGTAAGTAGTGGGCACATGAGTGACACTTTCTCAAACAAACACAAAATCTCAATTTTATTTCACTGACTTCCAAATAAGTGTCACAATTTTTTTATTGTTTTATTTACTGAATAAGGTGAATGAGTCCATTAAAATTTTATTTTAATGTAAAGGCTACTTTTATACATTAAATTTAAAAATGGTCCATAAATAACGTAAATCGAGTATTTTTATCAAAGATTTTAAATATATTTATCTCGCTTCGCTTTGGGTTCGTGCCTAGGTTGATTTCCCATACAAACTTTCATCCCCATATTCACCCCCTTTACTGATGATTTCCGGAATAAAAAATACCCTATGTCGTTCTCAGGGTCTCAATTTATCTTTTTACCAAATTTCATCCGTATCAGTCCAGTAATTTTTGAGTTTATTCATTACAAACATACAAAAGTACACATCTTTCCTCTTTATAATATTAATCTAGATTGTTATATATTTGTACATATTTAGTACTACAAAATGTTCGTACTGTGTAGTTGAGTCTAAGAAAAAACGTTAACGGCACTATCACGTGCGCGCGCACACGTGTTGAGAAGGAAAGCATTGTTTTTAACCTACTGTATTTATATTATTGTTGTACTTTGTATTTCTCTTGGGAATAATTACAGAAAAAACTCTGCAAATCACAAAGACTCTATTCATACTGTAAAGTGATAGATGAAATTGTGCTATACAGGTAAGGCTTTTTAATGCAAAATTTCTATATACTAATCAGTAATCATTTCTCATAGTCAATAAATAAACGGTCAGTCATGCCGCATATGCATATCGTCTTCCAAAATTATTATAATTCTCTAAAACACATTTATAATAAAACATTAAACATTTTATTCTATACTTGTAATAAATGTGCACCAAATATGACTTACTTGTGTTTTACAAAAATATTTTTTTCACACGCTTACGATATAATAAATAAATAATAAATATAAAGAATAAATAAGTATAACCACAATTTTTGAATAGAATACCAATAAAAAATTGCTTATAAGAAATATAAAATTATAATAACAGTACCCCAAATTAAAAAGATATAAAAATTAAGAGTCATTTATTAAATTTTTTATAAGATAGGTAAAACAGTAAACAATGTTTTGTGGATAAATATTAATAATATAAATAATTAAATATATAAATAATTTTGTTTAATATTTGAATCTATGCATGCTCAAAACTAACACATCTCTATGTGTATTAGTTCCTCTGCTCAGACCCACAAACAAACATTTTCGTGGTACACAATGTAATGAGTTTCAAAGCTCATTGTTCTCTTACTTCCGTCAGCCTAAACCATTGTTATAGCTCCCCGGCTTAAAGTTATTATGTACAACCACATAATAATTATATTTTATATTTTCGTGATAAACTATAATGCTCCACATATATTATAATATAGGTAAAAAAGTAAAAATTTTATCAATTAAAAAACTTTTTTATTTCAGAAATATCCGAATTTAGCAATTACAAAAAAGTTTCTATAATATAGTTAAAAAAATATGACAAGAATACGTTTTATATACGTACTTAATTTACTAGTCATTGCATGACAAAACGTTTCATTCTTTGGCCATAATATATTTTGGTCACTCGCTGACACCAATGCTTACATAAAAACGTAATTGAAGCAATTTGGTGTGTCCTACAAAATTTGACACTGTTTTTGACCCTTGCATCATATTGTGATTAAATATAAAACCCTTAAGATTTTTAAAATCTTTTGATTTTTGCCGAAGAGCGATCATGAGCTCTATGCTCACGTGAAAGGTATATCACTGAGAAACAGGTTCTGTGTGAATCTAGAGTCTAAGATATAAGTTATCTACATATTTGCATTTACATTATTAGTGTGATTGTGTGGCTCACGCTTTATTTCAACTTGTGTTTTAGTCATTTTTGTTTTCATAAAACAACAAATCAAGTTGATATTTCTCAGTTTTCTATCGTATATTAATACTAGTGACTCACCCTCGCTCTGCTCGGGTTCATCCCAGCTTACGTTTTAACATTTAGTATAGATTTCTCAGAGAGGAGATATTTTCCCGCAGTAAAAAGAATCCTATATGTTGACTCGGATAACTAGCTATCATCATACCAAATTTCATCAAAATCTCTCCAGTGGTTTTTCCATGATGCGGTCACAAACAGACAGACAAAAAATCTAAAAACTTATAGATTCGGCCTCTGTATCGATAATAATGTCTACTTCAATAAGATTTTCCAAAAACATATTTAATGTACAGATTCGGCTTAGTTACAATTTTATTATATGTATAGATAGACTAAATATTATAATTTGCTTTATTAATCAAAAATATAATAAACGTAACATTAAATGCTATGCCTAAGTTAATTTACATATTAAATTGTTGATTCTACTATACTAAATTATATTAGGATACCTTGACAATGAAAGTCACTCTAACGAACTTGAGATATGCGTGCAGCGTGACTTATCAATTACTTTATTCAAAAGGTATAACTCATACACGTGAGCAATTCAGTTATCAAATACTTTTAAGTAGATTTATATTTTAATTAAATAATTAAATATAACTAAGACGTGTTTCACTTTTCTTGTACAAATTTCCGTTCATGGCTTTTAGATACATGTATTAATAAAAAAAAATAGTTTTTGTAAAACTATTGGCAACACACGCATATATCAGCATATAAGAAAAATAAAAAAAATACACGTTGTGTAAATGCGTAGTTCTACTAAAATCAAGCCTAATCAGTGATGTAACGACAAAATCAGTAATTCATGATAGACAACGTTTCATAACGGCAGCCAACAAGAATGAATTTAGGCTTGTTTTTATTACTGAGGTTGGAAAAGAAACTAAGGCATGATTCATCTTGACGCCGCGCCAGGAAGTTAAGAAATAAGGAAGAAAGTTTTTAACTATAACAATGAATAGTGATGTTGTGTACTTCATATTAATTTGCATATACAACAATTTTTGTTGCATGCGTTATAACATCTAATTAAGTATATTATACATTAATTTTTGAAGTGACACTTCTTTAGAATCATTGTAATTTGAAACTCGATGAAACGAAAATGCGACAATAAAAAGAGACAAATACATAAATATATATAATATAATACATTGCCATGTTGCCGTGGTAACCGTCGTTATAGTTTGACAAATATATAATATTATTTTCTTTCCGTATATGATATTCTATAATATATGATTGTAAAATGCCTAATATTATTTAATTATTTGAGATAGATACATTACATAGCAAGTGAAAAATAATAAAATTAATTACTGAATAATATGAAATGTATATTTATGTCAAATAAGATGTAAAATAACTTTTAAACTTGCATAAATAATGTATTTACTTATTCATTAAATATGATTGCTCTTCAATCCAATAAAATGTATGTACTACAAAGATAGTTTTTTTTTATTAAAAATGGGCTCACTCTTGACCTTCATCTTGGCTCGAAGGCACAGATAAGGTCTACGATCTAGCGAGCTTGCCCAGGAGAAGCCTGTTAACACGCACCTTAAATAGGTTCAGGTTATACGCACTCAGAAAAACAGACGCAGGCAGCGCATTCCACATCTTGGCTGTGCGCAATATAAAAGATGACAAGCAACTTGGCGACGGTGTGCTAAGCTGTGAAGCTTAGTTTTCACAAGCTTTTCGTCGCCGATTAGCTTTTTAGCTCTGCGTTCCACCGAGTCAAGAGCGGCAAGTTGGTATTTTGCAGAGCCATCCCAAAGGTGTCTGCAATACTCCATGCATGATCGGACTTGAGCTTTATATAATGTGAGAAGCTGTCCAGGCGTGAAGTATCGCTTAACCTTGTTAAGGATGCCCAGTTTCTTGGCCGCAGTCTGTGCCTTCGACTCGATGTTGTCGCCAAAGTTAAGATTTGCACTTAACCTTATGCCGAGAAGCTCTAGACTGTCGGAAATCTCTACAGGTGCACCACGAAAAGTAGGAGTCAAGCTGAACGGACTCCTTTTTGCGGAAAATAGACAGGTTTGCGTTTTGGCGGCGTTGAAATCGACCAGATTGTCATCACCCCATTGTGAGACAAGACTTAAGGTCGTATTTGTACGCTCTACCATGGCCTCTCTCAAAGTACTTATTGTTACCCCTCCGTCCGTTCCACCGGGCACATAGCTCTCTATGACTGTGCTGTCATCTGCATATGCAACAATACCTGGTGAAAGTAGGTCATTGATGTGTAGCAGGAAAAGAGTCGCAGAGAGAACAGACCCCTGTGAAACTCCGGCATCAATAGCCATTAGATCGGAGGAGCAGCCGTCAACGACGATTCTGATCGACCGTTCGGTTAGGAAGTCTGATACCCAGTTGCAGAAGTCGGAGGGGATGCCGTAAGCAGGAAGCTTGCTCAGTAGACTTGCGTGCCAAACCCTATCAAATGCCTTCGAGATATCGAGTGAAACTGCTAGAGCTTCACCACGGTTTTCGATGGCCTCACCCCAGTACTGTGTGACATACACAAGAAGGTCCCCTGTAGACCGTCCCCTGCGGAAACCATATTGATGGTCACTATATATATATATGATTTTATTAATAGTAGGGCATGTATGTATGTGTATGTTGATGCCGATTCATCGCATTCACAATTTTTGTAATGAATGACAATTATATTTAATCTGTTGAGTATTTGCATGAACCATACTAATATGAAAAGTTTATCAATATGTGGAGGCTATCAGTTTCTAACTAAATCGATTAACTTATTTGTTTTCACGGTACATTGACTAAAACCTTAGTTTCCGAGGATTTTTTTTATTTCTCAAATTAACATAAGAGTGGGTAAAGTAATTTCAAGATTATTACAAATTATATATTTTTATTTATTATATAGACTTAGATTTTATAATTATTATTGAAACAGTATACCTAATAATTATTTATCTTTATTAACTCATAAAGATAAATAATTATTAGGTATTCTAAACTACCGTAAAAAGGTAAAACTTAAAGTGTAATTATTATATAAATAACGTTTAATTATAAGATAAGCTACCTTTAATTAATGGTTTGATTTGTTAACAAGTTAACCGCTCGGTAGTTAATTTTACACTATTTAATAGAAAAAAATTTAATAGAAATAGAAATGCTGAGTTAATAATTTTCATTGCATGTTTTTACAGATTTAACCTGTGTCGATTATTAGCTTTAACTTGAAGTAAGCTGTAGAATACGACAACTTTTCTATATAATAAAATTTAACCTCCTGGGACCTGGCGTCATATCCATATTACATAGAACGGAAAAAATTATAGCACCGCCATCTTTTAAGATTTGTTGTAACTTTTAATTTAATTTAATAGATGAGTTATCTGCCCGTCGAATTAAGCTGTGATTGGCTGACAAAATGAGATGTATTACTTTAGTTTCTTGGTTAGAGTGGACAATGGCGTCTTGGCCAGAAACACGTGGTAAGGATTTTTGTATTTTCTCTTAAAATATTAACAATTCCGTTAAAGCTTTATGTTTTTCTTTTTGCCTTATGTGCCTGCTTATTATAAATATATCCATAAGTGTCGTCTTTTGCTATAGTATTATGAAATAAGTAAGTAAATTTGAATGTCATACAGGTATTACACAAGGTCCCAATGACTACCGTCAATCAAAGGAGCCTAATGTAATACCTGTATTACGTAGAGATGTTTTTCATTATAAAGCTGTTTATCTTCACATTACTTTTATAGTTTTTACTAGGTATACACGATAGCGAAATAGTGCGTTGTTTAGAACAGTCAGAGCTCGATCTAACTGATGAAGAAGACCCAGTACCTATACCAATATTTCAAAATGAAGAGAAAATTAGTTCTGGTTCCGGTTCTTCAAACTCAGAAGACGAAACTCGTCCAGGTTCTGAAATATTTCTGGCCTCATCAACTACAGCTACCACTAGGTGTCGTGCTAGAACGAGAGGTGAACCTAGGACACTTGGAGGAAGATCAAGAGGCAGTAGATTGAGAACGAGAGGTACACAAAATGATAGATCGTCGCTGGTAAATAACAGAAGGAACTGCAATTTCTCGCCCGTAGACAGGCCAATTTTTCAGCCAACATATAAATCTATTGATACTGATATTGGATTGGACTTGGATTGACTATTTATAACAATATATTTCTGATAAAATTTTGGAATAAATGGTTGACGCGATAAATAGGACCTATCTGCTAAAACAAGGAAATGAATTGAAGCTGACTTTGAAAGAATTAAAATCTTTTATAACAATATACCTAATAATGGGTTTTATTAATTTAACAGAAATTGGCATGTAATTGTTCAAGCAAATATGGTATTCAAATCATAAAAGAATCATTGACTTGAGTACGTTTTTTCGACATTCGATCATCTTTGAAAGTTGTCGTCGATGCTGGAGCTGAAATTGCAAAATAAGATTTGAAAAGTTGCACCTCTTTTTGACGAAATATTACAAGGTATCATAGTCAACCAAGAGCGGATAACATTAGCATTAATGAAATGATAATTCTATTTAGTGGTCATTGCAGGATACGACAATACTTCCCGGGAAACTCAACCCTGTATTAAGATTAAGGTTTATAGTAATATGATATATTGGTTGTAGTTGAAGTTTTTTTTACATTAATTACCTATTACCTAGCTTATTAATTGAAAAAATAATGTTTATTCCATGCCATGTATATACTTATGATACGAACAACAGTTTGTATAGGGACCTTGTGTCGCATATATATGACATTGAGAAAATCTACATTTTCCAAACTAGATTTTTTTCAATATTTTTTTCGGTTAATTGGCCAACTGCTTATTAGGTAAGGATAGTTTTCATTATAATTCCTTACAATAAATTGTGCTGGGTCCCAGGAGGTTAAAATAGTATAAATGAACTTTTTTACCCTTTTTATAAATTCCATTGTCTCGTTGTTCCTGGATTCATCGGACCCGACCAAAATAGACCGACTAAGTACTTAAGTAGTAATAAGGTTTTTCCATTTAGAAACTCTCAACCCGAGGTTGGGAACCTGGCATTGTTCTAAGAAAGTAAAACGTACATTATAATATTAACGTTATGGTCTTGCACCTGCGCAGATGAAAAAAAGTATGTTTGTTTGTTTATCCTTCTTACAATTAGTAAAGGACGACCAGATTTTTATGAACAGATATAGGTTATTATTATCCTGGTACATCAAGCTATTCCTGTAAAATAGTACATATATTACAAAAAATACAACTAAGGCTAAGGCAAGTCCATGGTCCATACAGTAAAAAGCTGATGAAATAAAACAATATTTAAAATCAAAATTACTTTATGTATACCTACTTGAGTTTTTTCTTTATTCTATATCTTTATTTGGATTCAGCAAAACGTTAATGCTAATGCAAATCTCGTGATTGCCGTCACATAATCATATTTTTAATATTATTCAGAAAGTGTTGTCCCATCACTTTCCAAGGAAATCCGGTCTGTCGAGGTATTGAAAACAAAGCCTCGTTTCATATGATCATATCTCCATTAATATGCTAAACATAAGTAATAAATAAATATGGCGGCTATTTACAATTACAATATAGAATTATCATTTTTTTATAATACTGTAGAAGAAATTGTTATCTAAGTATATTAAATGAGATTTAAAAAAAATGCATTTCATTAGAAAATTTATTAAAATTTCTAGATTATTACCTAATTAATTTTGTTAAATGCACTACGAAATATAAAGATCGTGATATGGTGACTCACAATATGATCATCAAGAAGCAGTCACATAATAAAATGAGTTAAGAGATTAATGTATGAGACTAGTTCCGGTAACAGGAACAGCGGTCATAAACCCGACTTTCTATATGATGAAATATAATATTCGTTCAAAGTTTATTGGGTAAGTCAATTTTTCTTAATTTTCCACAAATGGTAAAATTTTTCTATATATGGATATCTTTATTCCTTTTTAAAAGCTAAAATAAAAAAAATACATAGAACATAGAGGTTATAATATTTGTTAGTGAGAATAAAATTAAAAAAATTAAGCTAGCTCTTTAATTTAAAAAAAAAACCTTCCTTTTTTTCCCCTTTCCCTACTATTCTTTAGAATTTATGATGTTCAGTGGGATGGTATATTCGACAACTAAACAAAATTTCTCTGTTTAGAAATCGAATTGGCATCCTCCGGCACCATAGGTAGCGCCAATCAGATACTTGTCACATTGTGCTACATCAGTAGTTCATTAGTTGATGATAGTTTGGCATAATGGGAATATATTTTTAAGATTTGGTTAAAGATTATTTAATCATTATTTTAAAATAGCTAACTTAAACCTCCACTTATTAAATAATCAATAAGTAAAGATATAAGAAAATAAAATGAAGATAGTTACGATACGACTAATTTCAGCAGCAGTAAAAGGAATTCTTTGGCCGACTTTCTATTGCGGTCGTTTTGATGTAACTTAGTTTTTATTTTATTTTGTACAACTTGATATTAACATTCTTTCGCTACTGACTTCGTTATAATTTAATGATAAAACATCATGTGCGTGTTATATAAGACCTGACACGCATGGTATTTGTCGGAATGTAGTCTATGCTAGTAGTAGTACCATCTACCTAGGTACTCTTTAACCAAAAAAAAAACATTTAGTTTTATTATGAAAAATATGTATACATCTACTTTTATTTATACTATTTGACTCTGTTCGTTATATTTTACAAGACAAATGTTTACAATAGATTGTCTAAATCTTAATTTGAAGAACAAAATATATTTAACATTGCTAGTTTTTTTTGTTTTAAAAGTTAATTATAATAACTAACTAGCTTCAATTTTCATTATAAAATGATTTTAACATAGTTTATATTGTTTAAAAATCAAAAGTTACCTGTAGGTTTATTAGGAAGTCCACGTGGACTTCCAATATCATTTTTATACTAATACTAAATGAAAATAAAAAAAGAATATTTATTTCATCCTAAAACATTTTTTTTTTGTAGTTCAAACGTAATTTTTAACAAAGTTACATAATACAGAATCTAGTTTAATGTATGCTTTAGCATTGAGTATTATATTCAATGGTTATTGTATGTTATTATAGCAAATAGTGAGCTTAAACATGTTATATTAGTGGTTATCAAACTAAAGTTGTATAATGTAGAACCATTATTTTAAGCACGTCCTAAATAATTATATTTACAAGTAAGTTTCAAAAATATCGTTCTCTATAACATAAGATTTATTTTATAACTAGCGGCTTAATCCGACTTCACACGGGTGTGTCCCTAAAGATAAATGTATAAGAAACGTATAGAAAACAGACTTGCAAAGAAAATTTCTCTTATTTTTGGCCCAGTAACCATTACGGGCATAACTACTCAGTAAAGTTTCATCACAATCGGGTGAATGTTTAAGAATGCATAGGGTACAAAAAATCATTTATTTTTATTTATATAGATAATTAATTTTATTACATTTATATCACTAAATAACACTACTTTTTCACACATGTATGCAAATGATTTCATTCAATCATTTAGTTCATTGAAGCTTATTTCAAAAATGTATATTGGATTTACACTGGAAACAAGGGTGCAAGGCATTTATGTTTTTTTTAATACCGGCATAATATACGCACGCGTATGTTGTCAAAAATTCAATAGAACATTTTTTACTTTACAAGTTTTTAATTGACTCAAATTAGCTAAGGTATTACATTGATATATAAAAACATTTATACATCAATGAATATTGTATTAGCGACATAATATAATTTATAATAGTTTGTATTATTAGATATTAAAAAACTTAATTATTTACCTTGATAATTATAAGCATTAAGTTCCTAACGAAGGTAGATGTATCTTTTTTTATTATGAGTCAAAAGCAGTTTTTTTAAGTTTGACTGAAAGTAGGCAAAGAAAACTAGTTTTTTTATATCTCTTTTTTCGTTCCGGTCTTTATGGCCCAACAAGAAATTGATCAAACAATATATTATTCAATTAAGTTTGACTCCATTTTTTCACCCATAACTAGTAATATTATAAATGAAAGGAAGGAAGGTTTTGTTTTTGTTATTTATTTTTTATTTCTCATCCACGCAGTACTAGAGCAAGAAATTGATATATTTTTTGCGTAGAGATAATTGATTGGACTTAGCGTAGCATTAGATCGCATAATATCTGTCTGATCTGTCACAAAAAGCAACTAAACATGTATATTGTATAGATCTTTTATAACACAAAAACATTTTACTCCATTGTTTATTTCGCCATTATACCTGAATTCATTTTAGAGTTACCATAATATTTTTTTCTATAGGTATCTTATGAATAAAAGAATAAAATTGTGTTAAAAAAATAAAAAAAACTTTAGTGATCTAAGTAATAGCGATTGAATAATATTCTAACAACTTCCTAGACTTTCCAAAACTCCTCAGTCTTCTCCATTTATTTCCTAACCATTATTCGTTTATTATTGTCATAGAGCAAAATATGGAAGTGTTATGTAAAGATGAACGTGAACAATCTTTATTTAAATAAACTTTTATTTATTCATAGTAATTTTGTTTACATATTAGTTAATAATATGATAGCGATATACTAAGATGATATATATATATATAGCTAATTTTAGAACTTTGAACTCTTTAACCAAAACTAACTTTATAATTTTTGACAAAACACATCAACAACATCTATATTTTGAATAAAGAAGAATGCCTTGGTGTCGTTTCTTATTCTATTTTATTCTAAATCGTTATTTAATCTGCACTCGAAATTGCATGGTAGTTGCGTAACTGGATAACTTCACCGTTTACTATCCCTATCTTTTGAAATATTTATTACATAACCTTATACCTTAATCATTGAAAATATACACACTTGTGTTACTGCTACGACTTTTTTACATTACGTATTTTTATGGTGGGTAAAATAAAGAAATTTTACATTAAGAAAACTAATAAAAATATAGAAATTTTAAAGCTACTAATAATTTAGCAATTTTTTCAGCTAAATATTAGACTAAATACAGAGACACTCTTAGGTGTATTTTAATATCTATATGATATTTCATAATCGCCAAACAATTTAATATAAAAGATCTTAAACTTATCATCTAAAATCTA